TAATAAAAAAATACTGATATAACTTTTGTTGCAAATTATTAATTAAATATTTATTAAATATTTGATTGCTAAATGTGACAATAATATAAAACGCTCGATTATTTGACAAAGCAAAACAACAATATATATATATATAACGACCAAAAACGAGCATAAAAGTTGTTAGATTACAATAAAAATATTTGAGATACAATATCACTTAATTCTTATACATTAAAACGTTTCGACTCACAAAGTCTTCTTCAGTTAACAATACAATTAACCTAATAATCTAACCGCAAATCAAAAAACAAAATTAATAGTATCACAAGCAACTAAAGTGTTATCCTATCATGTTTATAAGAATATCGTCATGATATTATACCATATAATTAAATTCTCGTTCAAGGGCGAGAATCACGTTAAGTTCAAAGAGAGAAGTTAAATGGTAAAAAACAGTCTTATATTTTTATTGTAATCTAACAACTTTTATACTCGTTTTTGGTCATTATCTTGTTGTTTTGCTGTAACGAGAAACTTAATTAACAGTGAAATTATAAAAAAATAAATTTTAAATAGAAATATACAAATTTTCATAATATGAGTTGTTGATAGCGTCGTCTTTAAACAAAAATTTTATACATTTATAGTTTTTACAAATCTATGAAGATTTCTTTTTTAAAGAAATAATATAAATGAACATAATTATTTTGTAAGTGTTTGATAAACAAAACTTCAAAATATGTTTTTACTCAAATATATTACAATGTTATCTCACTGTCACAATCACTCATAATGGCCCTTCTGCAAAGTACTCTTTAGACACCTTTTTATTCGCAATTTTTGTGATAATATATAATAATGATTATATATAATAATAACATAATAATTTAAACATATAACACAATGAATGAGTTATAGCGAGTGTGATAACAAAATTATTTAAATCTTCTTATATATTCTATTCTCGCGTATATTCCGTAATGCCTTTAATCCATATCAGTTTTAGCGGTTCACTTAATAACACATTCTCGCAGCAGTGAATATTTTTTTGCAAGAGGTGGAACACACGCGTAAATACAACGCGCTATATAAACGAGGCGATACGTAACGTTTGCATGAAAACAACGAGATAAGAAATTTTCACGTCACAAAAAGTCTAAAATTGCTATCCTGAAAGGTAAAACGGCGAAATTTGGCTCGGGAGTCGGCAGATATTTTACGAGCACGTTTGGATTTGTATTCACTCTGCGCATATTTAGCTACTAATGCAGTTGCGGTATATATTTCCGCGTCTCTCTCATATTTCCACGATATTCAAACAAAACTTAGAATTAACTGCACATTTAGTCATTTAAATCGTAATGTTTATGACGCAACGCGTAACTATTTTAATCTCCTATTCAATTTCTTTTTTTTTCTATTACGTGTAATAATACAATGCCCAATCACTTTGTTACAATTCCTATAACTTTGCATTTGCATTATTATGCAGAGATAACGATTGTAACGGTTTTAACACGTGTATTAAAGGTTTAAATAAATTTCTGAATAACAGGAGAAACGGGAGATGAGAATGCGAGCCTAGATCGTGATCCAACGATTACGTTCTGTAATCGTCGCTGTAGCGAAGAGATCCGACTGATGCGTCGCTATCTCAGGGTTACCTAACAGCACGCGCGAGGATGCACTTTCGGGCGACGTCACGAGCGTCCGATACGCTGGTCGGTCGGCGCTAGCACAGTCGTGCAAAGTAAAAATAAAACGGCAGGCTAGAGAGAGAGAGAGAGAGAGAGAGAGAGAGGGAGAGTAATTCCGTTCACGCAACACGCGCTCCGTGCGTTACCTAAGAACGCGTAGACGCGCAATTCAGCGTAACCGCACGGTTATGAACAAAAAGGATGCAAAAAAACAATGGACGCGTGGTCGCGCCGGATCAATGCATATGCACACGACGTCGGACGCAGACTATAATCGCGTTTGACACGCAGGACCACAGGTGCCCGAAAGCAAGTGCAACCACTTTAGCTGTAGCCCTTTCGCCTTTTTATTACCTTTCTCAATTCTTGGTGAGAAGATCTTTTCGGTCTTTTTCAAAGGGATCGAAAGTACAGTTTTGATTAACGATTAATTCTTTCCCGCCTGCTGTAAACATAAAAATAATTGTAACATAATAATTTTAATTTATAACAATATAATGTTTCTCATAATTTTAATCGCCTATTTTCTTCTCTCACGTAAGCTGCAATATATAATTAACCACATTTGCGTGCTAATATATATAAATACTTTTTTTACTTAGAAAATTTAGTTATGTAATTATGACCTAGGTTTTTAAACGCTCGCTCGATGATTGAAAGATTTGCTTATGACTTTATCACGAGCATACTTTGTGCTTTTTTTCGAAATGTTGGCAATATTGCGAAATAATGTAATACGTAGCAATTATGGAAAATAGAAAACGATAAATCACGGAAAGTGTTAACCATTTCAGTGTGATACTATTAATTATTTATGTTGCACGTAAGACGGAAAATACCGGCGAACTGCGCTTTGGTTTTTCTCGTTGAAACCTTAGTCTGCGCGTTCCTGTATCTATGCATCGATTGTAAATCATCGATTTGCTAATAATTTATGAGTAACGATCGCTCGATAAAGACTACGGAGCCACTTTTCTTCGTAAGCATGCCCGCTAGCAACATGTTTCGACGTGCGCACTGTGCTCTTTTCAGTACATATCTCAATCAATAAAAAAATTTTTTTAATTTTTGTAATAATTACAAATATTTATTGTGATTTATTTATGATTTATTATTGTTGTCGAAATTACGTAAATCGTTTAAGAGTTAGCAGAGTAGCTTTATCTGAAATTTCTTATTAAAATAAATCGATATATGCTACATGTTGGTATTATCTTTATAGAAAAGAAATAAATATGAACATGTGTATTATAAATTTTTACTGGCTATTTTTAGGTCAATTGTCTGCAGTTGGGCTAACGCAAGATGATACTCCAAATGTAGGTTGAAGAACATGCATTGCTATTACATGCTTCTGTCTCTCTTTCGTGAATGCAGACGAGCTGCAAGCGCAATTCGCGTTACCTAAGGATCTATATAAAAGCGGAGTACATCGCCGCGAGACTCGCGCAGACGAATACACGTGCATGTATTATTCTGCGAAGTTTAGTAGAACTTAAGATACGCATGTACACAATGTACTGCGAGATTAAAAAAAGCATGAGAAAGTAAAAATAAAATATAGTGTTCACAAGATGTAAAAAAATACACAAAAGATAATTAGAAGATAAGTAAGTGTGATTGAGAAGTAAAACAAATGAGAAGTCTTATGTCTTAAATCTTATATTTGTTAAATATTGTCAGTAATTAAGAAATAAGATTACATCACTAAAGCAGGATTTTTAAGTTTTAGAGAGTAAACAAATAAACTTATATAAAAAAAATTTGTTTATTTTCTTTGTATATTAATGAGATTGTACATGTAAAAATCAAAATTATTTTATTTACTAATATATAAATGATAACAAAACAAAAGTATATAGGTGTTATAAAAATCAATTTTATCGAAGATATTAATTATGCAATATTGTGTGTTTTTCTCTTTTACTTTTAAACAACAATATACACATAAATTGTAAAGACAGTAATTCACAATTTGCCGAAAAAGTTTGTTCCGAGAAGTTAAAGTACTCAATTTATTATCTCAAATGTCATTCTCAATTAAGACTGAAGTGTTACGCCGAGCTTTCAAAATAATAAGACTCATATGTAAATATTACACATCGCGCGTCTATTTCATAAAGAATCTGACATTTCATCGTAACACTTTTTTCTCGCTCAGACTCGTGAAGGAATCGATCCGTCATCGTCAGACAGGCGAAGGCACAAGTAATGTTTCATACTCGCGATCATACGTCGAAAATAATAATTAACTTCTCCGCGCGCTGCTGCGTGAGACGTCAGTGCGTGCGATGCTTTTCCCCTCTTTGCCTTTCTTTCACAGGACACTCTCTCCCCTTCCCCCCCATTCTTTCACTCTGTTTCTTTCTTTCCTTCCCTCTCAACCATCGGTGTTTTTTTGGTCCAACGACGCCTGTGCCGCTCTACGAATCGCGAGATCCGCAGAGATCCGCGAGAGAAACGTGCGCGACGCCGCTGTATGGTGCGTACGTGTGTTGTATCGGTGTGGATACGTGCGTATCCGTGTTGGCGTGCGTCCTCCTACATCGCTTGACGAGGATGTGTGTGTACGTGTGTGTGTGTGTGCGTGCGCGCTGAGAGCGCGCACGCGCGCATCGCGCGGCGGCTTTGTGTGGGAGAGCGCGCGCGTGCGTGTGTACGCGGCGATGCGCGCGTGAGCGTTTCACACCTGACTACAACGCGAGTCATATGAGCGACTATCGAAACATCGAAAGACGATCGCGAGGGCGCGGAAAAGCGCGAGCGACGCCGAAAATCCTGTCGGCGTACGCACGGATTTATCGCGCGGCGCTCACGGCACTCAGCCGCGCAGAATCGATTTATTTTGTCGGCACGGTCTGCGCGGCGAACACGGTAGGTTAGTTGACCGCGGGGCCGAGCGAGCGCTGAGCTGACAGTAGGCCGGCGACGTCACAGTGGGCCGGTTCGAGCCTTCCTTCGTTCGATTCAGGCAGGCTCCTCTATTCGTTTTACATGTAGCAAGGTAAATATTTAAACCGCGGTGTTTTACAATTTTACGAAAGAACGTGGCCTAGTGCGCGGATTATTATTTTTATCGTCGTTATCGTCATCGTCATCATCATCATCATCATCATCATCATTAATCGTCGTCGTCATCGTCATCGTCGTGCGTCGTCACCGGGGGCAGACGACAATCGTTTTATAATCCCGACGGTTTTTGTGACGCGTGCGCGATTTCATCGTGACACAAACGTCAAATTGGACCAACGGAGAGAAAAAAAAGATATTATATATATGCATATGTATATTCACTCTGCGAAGAGGGTGGGATTAACATTTTCATCTATCGCCGTCGTACGTCATCCGTCGACGTTGTTACACTTGCCATGTTCGTTAACCATCGTTGCCATTAACGTTCCGTCGCACTCTACCGCTATCACTGCTACCTGTCACGAGGCTTGACGAGTTCGTGGAAAAGATAGACAAACGGAGAGAAAGAGAAACGAAAATAAAAGGTCGAATCGTGAGATAGAGAGAGAGAGAGAGAGAGAGAGTGATCGACATCGAGCGAAGGGATCACACAGGGAGAACGGGTGAAAAATCGTGGCCTCGCGTCACGCGAAAACCACGCGCTAAGTTTCGTGTTACTTATTCTCTTTTAACTTTTAAGAGTGAATCTCACCCTGAAGAGTATATAAGATCTCACTCTTTAAAAATTGAAAATCGAGCTACTCTTCTGTTCAAGACTGCCCAATTTTTATTCTTTACAGTGGAAATGTACTTTCGAAAAATTTGGAGAAGTACGCGCGCGTTTTCAGATCGGACGATGTTTCGACCCCGTGATTCGTGCTCGTATGTTTATTTCGTTCGATCGGTTTATCCGTTGTTCTGCCCTTCAGCGGAGCTGTCACGACACGCGTGAAGTGGCGAAGGACTCTCTCTCTCTCTCTCTCTCTCTCTCTCTCTCTCTATCTCTCTCTATCTATCTCTGTCTCTCTCGGCGTCTCTGCGGAGCGCGCGTCGCCGCACCGTTCAAACTACAGTGGAGACACGTGAAAACACGCGCTCTGACAGCTTGCGCTACGGCTACGGCGCGTGCACGTCACGTTCGTGGTCCGCGCGCGCGTTTCTGACAGCTGCGATTATAAATCGGCGCGGCGACCTTGCGCGGCCCCGAAAAGTCTTGGCAGCCGCTTTCGAATCTCGCGGTCGGTCCTGTGCATTCGTTAAGCCGTGACGTGCACGCGCGTTCGAAATAGTTTGGCTTCCTCTACGCAACAACGAAGGAAAGGCCTGGCTCGAAGTCGAGGGAAAGAAAGAGAGAGAGAGAGAGAGAGAGAGAGAGAGAGAGAGAGAGAGAGAGGGAGAGAATGGAAAAAGCGATATCAAAGACGTACGCTTTTGGCACGGTGGTCCTCGCGCGTGCCGCGACGTGCCGCGACACACGTGACAGTGAAACAGTGCAACGCGTACCGCGCGAACGGCGAACGACGCACTCAGAGCCGCGAGGAAACGGCGAGGACGCGGAGCGACTCGCGTCGTTTCGTCTGTCGTCTGTCGTCTGTCGTCGCGCTGCCTCTCGAAGTCGAATCGACTCGAGTCGTCGACATTTCGTCTTGAGACGTATCGCGGAGAGGGAGTGAGGTCGAGAGAAGGAAATCAGCTGCGTTTATTAGCGCTCAGCTGTGATAAGTCCGAGCGCGAGTTTGCGACGAAAAGAGAAGGAAGGAGGAAGCCAATGAATCTTAAAGAGAACGTCACGAGAAAGGTGCGACAAATTGCGCGCGCGTGAATATATATGCGTGTTGTCAAGAACTTGGACTCGCAAGTTGCGGAGAGTGCGTGTCCCGCGAGCCGCAAATACGATCGGACGAAAATACCTCACGTGCGTCGAGAAATTGATGAGACTGAGAGGGAGAGGGAGGGAAAACGCTTCACGCGCTAGGGGGAGGTAAGAGGCAGATTCGTTTTTGGAGCGCGAGATGAGGGGAGTCGTGAAGACGATCGGTGAGGAGCGTTAAAAGTCGAGTGAGCGAGTAAAAGTAAAGTCCTGAGAAAATCTAGTCCGATCGAACGGCCCGCTTCGACGAGAGTGGCTTTAACTGTTCGAGTATCGATGTATATTCTCTCGCGGATTTCACTTTGGCAGCGGCAGAAACGGCAGTCATAGTGACGTAGTTCTGAGGTGGGCTCATTCTGATGAATTCGTGATAAAATTGGTCGGAGACAACCACTTGAATGATATTATGCAAAAATGAATTAATTCGTGATATCAGTCTTACCTTTTTTTTTTCTTCTTTTTCATTGTTGTTGAATGTTCCTTATTATAAGTACTTTTGTTAAAACATCTATGGCCGTATTCACACCTCATTTTTATTGACAAATTCGCGCATTTAGCACATAGTTTACATTACATATATTGTAGAATCTCAGCAATAAATATGAGTATTTATCGATAAAAATGAGCTGTGAATATAAAGATGTTTCTAGTTACTATCATGAAAAAAAGGTTACATTATCGTTTTGTCAATTTATGAAATTGCAAAAAATTCTTATTGTTGAATGAATTTTCATGAACATTTAATCTAGAGATTTCTTGTTAATATCATCGTACATAAAAAAAAGATGACATTGTTATGAAGTTAGTTAGTCTACAAAAATTGGGAAAAAAATGAATTATACACAGATAGCTCGCTCGGTAACGTGAAATATAATATTTAATTATAAATTGATTAAAGAACATTATTCTTATAGAGAAAGGGTTAATTCATTTTTGTATGGCATATTTAAAGAAAACAAAAAGTGAGAATTTTGAATAAATATTAATACAGAAATAATTCTTTTGTAACAAACATCTTTTTCTTTACGCTTTTTATAGATCCATCTCATATGACGTGTGTTGTATGCGTATAGACTTTCTGTTTGGTATTCGAGTTTCTTGACTGACAATGATCCAATAATAGATTCTAAGCACAGCGCGCACTTTGGCGTGAAATTTTCTTTCATACCAGTATCCGCTTGCCCTTGGTGTGGCTTTCTCACTCTACCCTATTACTTTAATTACTCAAATTCGCGGCAAAAGGGCTTGAAACAAACATTGTCCCATCGTATACGTTGACGTAAAGTGCAAGTGGTAGTGGTGGCACGCGCTCTGTGATCAAATCCCGACTGGCTTCAGTGTACTTCATCGTTCGAAGCTTTGATTAGAATCAGTTTCGAACTAATTCAATTAGCTTTGACATTTCAAACGGATTCGTTAGAATGATTTTCTACGTCGAATATGCGTCTATTATATTTCTAGAATGCACATTATGACACGTGATTAAAGCAGATAAAGGTAAATTATAATCCGAGCAATTATTTGTCAAAAGTAAATTTTTGATTATTGAACTTGCAATTGATCTGTTTCTGTTATAATTAATATGATGACATAAAAAATTAAAAAACTGAAATTATCATTATATTGATCATTATATTGATCATTATATTGATCATATATATTATAATTATTATATTATAATTATAGAATGATTGTTTGTTTTTAAATGAAGCTTTATCTTTATTATCTTTATTATTGTACTCTCTTCAAAATTCTTATAAAGAATATAATCGAAACATTTTTGAAATGGCTATGATCTGCCTATATTTTGTCTGAAAACTTTCAATCTCATCTTTTATTAAATTAGGGCTTTAATCCCAAAAATTTTTTTCGCGCAGCAAGCCTGAAATACCACAGGTTTCTGTCATTAGAGTGCAGTGCCTCGTAGATCATTCCCCATTTCTCTTATTCTTACATTTCATAATACCATGATTCTAACGCCTGTACGACGACGATATAATAGCGTTTCCGCGATCGACTCGCCTTGACAGAGACAGACCGCGTGACGTATCGTTCGTGTCTCGACGACGAGAATACCGAAGACGATGCTCCGTCCTCGTTCCTCGATTCGGTTCTCGCGCCGCGCAGTCTGTCTTCGTCAGAGAACTGCATTCGATGTTCGGAGTCCGCGTGTTGTCACGTTGCATGGACGTCAGAGACGTCGGATTTTGCAGGCAGCTTCAATAACGCACCCTTGCGATATCGTGCGTCGGAATACGGTAAATTCTAAAGCCTTACGCTCACTGCTACCGCGAATATGGATTATTATACATAATTCTCATCTCGGACTTGCATTATCGTTCACTATTCGTCAAACTTAACGTGAAACTTTGACTCTCCAACCTTTGTTTCGTCTGACACGCACTATTGTAAAAAATAAACGTATCCCGCGATTATGAATTACCAGGTCTGCAAGAGGAGAAGGGTTTATTTTAAAAATCGTTATAATTCATTACTTTATCGTATTTTTTGTTCCGAAATATAAATACTATAGTGGCCGTCTTCTGTAAAAGTTAAAATTTTTACTAAAAGAGGAAGAAATACAAGTATAAATAGAATAATTTTAATACAATTCTAAATAAATGAATTTTTAAAACAAACACAATATTATATTCTCATCGTATCGTGTGGGCGCGGTTTTTTTGACAGTACGGCCCTGCGATCTAAGCAGCATAGACATTTGACGTTTCGCGAAGGTCGCGTGTTCCAGCTCTCCCTCTCTGTCTCTTTTTCTCACTTTGTCACAATACACACGTTCTCTGTCTGTCCGCGTCTCGCCCCCATCTTTTTTCTACTTTGCTCTCCGTCTGCCTCCCGCGCGGCATGTACGCACACGTACGCGTACATACGTATGTACGTACGTACGTACGTACCTTCCGACATTTAACGATCGTTACGCGTTCAATTGTTCACCGTCGCCGTCACCGCCGGAAAGGCCGTGCACGACTTTCCGAAGCGAGCCAAAGCCACTCGTTCCACGCAGCGATATTTTCCGCGGCGCGTTATCGGCGTACGTGACATTGAGGATCGTTCGAGAGAGAGAGAGAGGAGAGAGAGAGAGAATTGCAACGTAACGCAACGCGGTGTTAGCCGCCACAGTTATCGTAGATACCGCGACGTCGCGATGCGCCGCGCCGCGCCGCGCCGCGGCGTCGATCAGCTGGCGTCGCTCCGTCTCTCTTCCTCCGCACGACGCCGGCAGCGTGCACCTCTCCCTCTCCCCTCTGTGTTCCATCGTACGCGTACATACAGCCGAATGCTAATGGGGCGTGCAGACGCGCGTTAGACATTTGTTTGACGCGTGGATTGTGTGTAGGATGTCTGGAAAACCCGTCGAAAGACCTGCACCTGAGTAGCAGATGAATGTAAGTTGAAAAATTCATGTGTGTATTCTGGGAATGAATCTGCAAAAAAAAATCGTAATCGCGGATTATTTATTTCATGAATTAAATAAAGGATAGACTTGTGTAATGTAAATGGCATAAGTTTAGTTAAATTTGAATTTGTAAATAACATACAGTACATACACTATCACTCATGAAAGAAACATCCATATAAGTTTTATTGAATGGTTATGTAAAAAATTAGGACATTATAAAGAAGCAATTGTGTCGTTCTTTTATGTATTTTACTTGTACACATATAAACACCAATTGCAAAAGCTTTATAAATTATTTTTAATTTTATATGCCAATATGAATTGTCTTTCTTTTGTAGAACATTGATAGTATAATTGATAAATTTCAAAAATTCGCGTTTGACATAAATATAAAATTAAAAATAATTTGTAAAGCCTTTGGCTTTTGCCAGCCTATCCACCTATGGGAAGTTTTATAAATTATTTTTAATTTTATATGTCAAACGCGAATTTTTGAAATTTATTGATTATAATATCTATGATCTACGAAATAAAAACGATACGTTTTGGTATATAAAATAAAATTTACAAAATTTATAAAGCTTTTGCAGTTGTTAGTATACAAGTATTCTAAAATAATAATTGTTTTATAATGTTCTAATTTTTCACCATTCGATAAAATTTATAGGAGTGTTCGAACTTTCATAAGCAGCAGTGTATGTATAACTTATTTATGATATGACTCTCAAGCAGCTTTGTCTTCAAATACAAATTATTTATCTTGCTACATCATTATCAGATAATTTAGCAGTGTTGTATAATAGATGTAATAACAGTTAATAATAATAATAAGCATTTAGAAGTCGTGAGGTACAATTGTTTCATCTTTTGAGAAACTTATTGTTTTTCTGATTAATAATGCATATAGATATATATCAGAACCAACAAAACTGAATTTATTTTATTCTGCTTCTCAGATAACGAAATATTTTAGCGATACATTCTTCGGAAATTTAAAATTAATAATTTTTAATCTTTGTGTACTTTTTTACAAATGTTGCAAATATGCGTAATATGCGCAAATACATGTTGTTAAAATATTTTTAGAGTATATATTTTTTTTATTTTTTACTGCTTTGTTTTCAGATATAAAACTGACCCATTTAACATGCCGGTGATGAATAATCAAAAACATGACACAAAAAGATAATCAAAAATATAATTTTATTGATCAATTTTAATAATTAGAAATGATTATAAAGCTTACTTTCATATCTAATTTTATTCATTTTGAATCAATTATATTCACTTTTATCATTTTTCTCCTTTTTTAAATACATTTATGTATATATATTATACATATATTTCCCATTGTTTTAATTTTTATATGTTATTTGTTTTCGTGTAATGCAATATTACGTTTTATCACACTTTTTTGCGCATATTTGCATCGTTTATATATTTTTTGAAAGAGAATTATAATAGTTATTACCATTAAAATGGTTGCTCTAATTTAAATAATTTATCACTTTCTCTTTTCTCTTTTATTCTCTTTCTTTTCCGATCCCGTCGCGAGCCACGCGAAATTAAAGAAATTAAAGAAATGCCAAACTCACGCACTCATAGCAGTGTAAAAACAGCTGTGGCGAAAGAGAGAGAGACCACAGTATTTTGTACATTTTCTGCACTGATTAACGCATCCTCGCGCAGCGGGGTCGTTAACACTGATAAATCAAAAGAAAGCGACTCGTTCAAGACTCCTGCTTCATCGAAGCACTGATCGAATTATTTTTACAATGTCACGGTAAAATAGGTACACAGGATGTACGCGAAAGGTGCGTCCCGAGAAACAATCCTGCGAGCGTTAATAATTAAAATTCGATCAATATCTTGCGATCGTTAAAAAATTGAGGTAAAATAATATCACGACAATTATTTTAAGATAAATATGCATGTGTTTTTTCAACAATAAACTTTAATTTTCAGTTCTGGGATTCTTAATTTCTTTGTATATTTCAAATTTTTTATTTTTACTAATTTAATATCAACATGTTCTCTTTGATTATCAACAGTATTCATCATATCACTGCATGCGACGCAGTGTTGGCTTTTAGGGGAGAAAATGATTAATATCAATACTGAATGAATAACAGCATCGATATCTGGTTACGTTTAAGCATCGGTCAATGTCTATAATCTCATTTTCACACACTCGGGAGGAAAACTACATGCGGTAAAACATGTGCGTGCATTTCCACGTACTATGTATGTATGTCGACGGGTTATCGATTCATAATCATAATCGCGACAGATAAGAGCTACCGCGAGAGAACTTACTCGTTCGAGGTGTTACGTTATCATGTTACGATAGACCTTTGTTTGCAAACGTCTTCGCGAACTGAAGAAAAATTAATATTTTCTTTGTTTGAGATTCAAAGTAAGAAGATTAGATTTATGGTCTTGTAATTTTTGTATTTAAATTGTATATAATCTTCATATTTAATATTTAAAATTTTTGAATATGTGTATGTAAAGTATATTTGTTTATACAAAAATTCAAATGTATATTCTCAAAAATTATAAATATTAAATATGAAAATTACATAAAAATTATGGACTTAATCTTTTCGCTTCGAATCTTTTGCGAACGAAATGTATTAATATAAGAATAATGCACGTATATGTATATATATATATATATATATATATATATATGCATGAAAAAATTGCTTATTTAAAATTCTTTCTTAAAAACATGATTATAGTTATCAAGCATCTATCTGCAGAGAATTAAAATGGATTTTGCAAATATTAAAAATCACTTTTGCTTTGAATCGTTCATTTATTTACATGTAACAAAAAGTAAATGGTTACGGATGATAACCTCGCAGTGCCCTGTATGCCAGGACAAAACTCCGCGTTCCTATACGTATCACAAAAAATAAAAATTGCGTAACAGCTATCTATTCCGTTGTCATCGGGTCGGACGACTTAAATCGGTTTCCACTGGTTCACGATCTTTTGATTGGCGGCATTCTACAGAGTGATTTTCGATGGGCACCGCCGATGGGCGGTTTTGCCTACATCCAACCAATGTATACATACGTGTATACCTATACACATATACACGTGTACATATCGTGATCATTTTTAAAACGTGACGGAGACAGACGGACGAGACTCTCGGGCGACGAGATAGAGACGTAATGATTGCAATATTCCACTAGTAATTGCTCCAGTCGGCCGCACCGTTGAAACATCATTCGCGCCCACGAGTCGTAGATTTGTTTTTCCCCCCCGTTTCTATCTCCGCGCGTGTCGCATATCGTCCGCCCGCGTCGCGTCGCGCCGCGCCGCGCCGCCATGCCGTGCGCGACGCGTCGCGTCGGCCAAAATGTCATTCTCGCAGGGGATTCGTTTTCTCTCTTTCCTCGGCCTCCCAATCTCTATCCGATGGCGATCCCGTTCCTATCCCGCACCACTTCCATCATCCCTCCGATCGCGAACCGCGTGCTGTTCTCGATGCCATTCATCGCGGTTCGAAATCGATACGTGCCATTAAATGCTGGCAATGCATTTAAAACGAACGATCGAGTCGAACGGGGGAATACGCACGCGATTAGATTCGCGAAACTGATCCTCGTTAATATCACGTTATAATCCGCAAATCAACTTCCGGCTCGCTATTAAACGTCAGAGATCGAAAATGACACAAGTCAAGTATGCTGAGACATCTGCGATATTTATGGTTCTCTGGTCTAAGCATCGACGTTACTTAACTTTAACCATAACTTTAAGTAATTCTATACCATAACCGGTGCAAAGCACCCTAACGCGATGCAAAATATCGACACTTACTTGTTTGGCCTCGATATCGCGAGTTTAACGACGCCGCTTCGCGTAACTTGTACGAAAGTATACGGATTATTTAAATATCCACGCGTTCGCATTTCTTATGACGTATTCTGAATATTCCAAATATTCAGAGATAAATAAATATGTCCTTTTATAAATATTATAAAAAAAAAAAATATCTGTCGATATTTCTTCGCGATTCTAACGACAGTACTTTGTCTCGTCATAACGCGCTATCATTCTTTTTACTTCACAAGGAACCGATAAGAGCGAGCGAACGTTACCGCGCCGCGCGCCATCGCTATCGCTGCTCACGAGCGTGTCGCGCGCGCGTGAAAGGAAGCCCTCGACAAAAAGCTCACCACGGGGTATTAGTCATTGGTAACCGACCGAAGCTTTTTCGCCGCACGTCGTGCCGTGCCATGCCGTGCCGTGCCGTGCCGTGCCGTGCCGTGCCGTGCCGTTCCCGCAGTCGTGACCGTCGCCTCGGCTGATTTATGGCGAGCCATCGTTATTTTCACCTAGGCTAGTCTAGCTAGACTAACCCGCGCCGAGCGCTTCTTCTGGGATGTCCCTTTCCTCCGGCGCTCTTTCTTTCGCCTTTCAGGTTCTTTCTCCCACGGATCTTTCGCACTCTCGCTTCTTCGTTCCTTTCATCATCTTTGGCTCCCTCTTTCTATCTACCCCTCTCTCTTCGTTTCTTGCCCCCTCTCTCCGATTGGACTTCCTACCTGTTCAGTTCACGTTTAAACGTGGGTGGGAGAGAGGCCGGTCGTTACCACCGGTTAACGATGGCTAGGTGCTACTACCAGACACCTCTTATCCCCCGTCGGAACCTCGTAACCGAGTGAAGTTGCGCGAAAAATACCTGACCGAACCGGAATGCCTCCGCGTCGCCGGAAGTCCGGCCGTTACGCGTCAATTTCGCCGAGTAATTGACTCGAACATCCAGATAATATTATTATCCTTGACCGATCCTACAGCTGCTGATCCTACAGTTCGCTGCAGCCTTAAATCTATTGACTCTTTCTGACAGATCAGCGAGTTTACAAACAAATATCTTTGTTCATAAGTACTTACACAGATTCTTAACTCCCCCCCCCCTCCAGCCAGCAGCATAAATTGTAATTCTTTCAACTCTTCCTCGGATAA